TTAATTATTGTGGTTTGACTATCTGAGATAATCAATACGATGTTCTCCCTCTCTGATTCAGTTACATTTGGATTGAGATGAGAAGTCCTGACTAGGCAACAAGTGTGAATACTATCGAACGATAGTAACACAACACGAATTGACATGTTAGTCGAGCAAAACTCTTGATGATTGAAGTGAAATGAAAATCTGATTGGCAGTCGGATCTCGTAGCTCAGTTAGTAGAACACCAGACCAGAAACCCGACACTTGTTGGTTCGAATCTGGCCGCGGTCCAGATTTCCATCTCACTTTCAGTCACCATCCAGTACAAATATTAATATCCATTTAAATAACACCTGTCTTTAATTCCTCTTACTGTTCTGAGATATGAATGTAACTAAAATCACCTCACAACTCTTCAGTAATGTTGTTGATGACTCTTACTTTTCCATTCTACTATACTTCATGCATTCTGTGTGAATGTTAACTTCAAAACAGTAGAACTCCATTCTTTTGAATGTATGTTGGTAGGATCGAACAAAAAGATTACTTCTCAAAGAGAACCCTTAATTGCATTAACGGGATATACATTGAGATAAAACAAATGTTGAGAATAAAAATATTCAGTAAACTATAAAAAGTATGTCTAAATTAAAACGTGTGATCTATTTAATTCCTTATACATTTATTTTATATGAATTGGTTAATTAACTCTTAGTGAATAAGAAATGGTAACATTGATCAATGTTTCCAATGCTGAGGAGAAAACTGTTCGAAGAAGAAAGATGAAAAAAGGAAGGGTGGGTGTGTATTATAAACAGAGATGAAGAGAACGAGAAGCTTATAAGAATGTATTTCATCCCCTTTCTGGTTTAATTGGTTATCATAAATATCTTTAAGAATTTCAATATTGGAACATTTAACCATTTGTTGTTTTAATTACTTAGATTGTATATCAAGCTTTAGGTTAGACTAAAGTTGTGTTTTTTAAATAAAATGCATTTGTATGTAAACAAATATGAAATTGCAATGTATAAAAATGACGCAGATAAAAACAAAATGCTTTCTGAAATAGTTGGTGATGAAAAATTTTGATATTTTACAGAAGAACAATAATAGAAATTGACAAAAATCTATTAAGAAACGATAATAAATTTCTGTTGAAATTAAATTTTGTAGAAGTCAAAATCTAAACTAACTGGCTGTTTAAACTTGTGTAGATGGGGCGAGATTTTGAACCATGACCCATAGATTAGAGGCCAAATAGCTAGATGAGTGAGTCGAAGCTCCATTTTTTCATTACTCTGAGGCCGTTAGACTGTTTATCTATAGATCACCAGTAATTCATAGTAATAATGAATTCTCTTACTTCCTTAAGGAAAGTTATGACTCATTTGGTGTCTCACAGGGAAATAAGAAAGTTCAACTTGTGAAAATTATGTTTACATGACAGCGATGAGTTGCAGTTTTGCAACCAGTAATGTTTTATATGAACTAGTGTATTCACTCAGTGATATATCGTGTATCTGAGTTCAGGATACATGTGAGTCATGACCTAAGTATTCTAAATTGAAGACAAATCAACTAGAATGCTTGGTAGCCTGAAATTCGTTTTAAGCTCACCTCTCTATTCATGTTTGCGTTGAAATTGGTTGGTGATAGAATTCCTGAATTGCTCTAGCTTTAGAGAGTCAAGATCAAATTATATGATGAGTATTTTACTTACTACTTTTCTGATTACAATTCAATTGTCCTTCGATGCAGCCATTATCTAAGGATAACAAATTTAGAGGTGGCATTCATCACGGACTGACATAAGTTGGGGAACCATTGAAAGTCTGCGAGCACTGGACAACTATTTCGTCCTAGTACGGGACTCCTCAGCAGTACGCATCCACCACCCGACTACGGATCAAACTCAAGACCTTCAGGTTTCATAACGAACGCGCTAATCATCCAGCCACTTGGTAGGTTTTCAGTGGTTCATATTTTGCTACTTTTGTCAATTCACGATATAGCGCGACTATCACCCAAGGTCTCCAGTTGGCATCCACTTCACTTCCTACTGGTTGTCCCCATAGGTCACGGCTTCTCATCAAAGCCTCGTGATATCCATCTGGAAGCAATATTTTTGTGAGCGAAAGATAATTTGATATTCGCAATCCACTCAGTCAGTCTGTGAAGGACTTACCTACATGGAGAAAACTTTCATAATCGATTAAAATCAGCTGCGAAACCACTGAGAAATACATGACATGAGGCAGTCAGTCATTAAGTTCTCGTTTACGACTCCTCAATATTGCACTGTACTGATCTCACACAGCATAGAACCCTTGGTGACCACACTGCAGTTCAATAAGGCGTAAAACTGAACTTCTAGTGAGAAGTATGAGTTGACTGAGAAACTGCAGGTTTCTTAGGACTTCTTATTTCTGATGTCCTTTTTCTCTGTTTTTTTTTCACTATTAACATGTTTATTTTTGTTCCTTTGTTTCGCCTTCATATTAGTTCCTTCTCTACGCATCGCTACAAAATATAAAATTCTCATAGGGTGAACACTTGCTGTTAGTTGTGCACACCTATTTACTCATCATTCAGTTGGTTGAATGAGATTCAATACCTTCTGAAACACACTGAAGAGAATTCAATTTGAAGTGTTATTTTCATTCCAGGAGTACAGTTCCACAATTTATAGTGACATAGAAAATAGTTAAAAACCTTATGTAGTTAGAGAAATCTAGATAACTGCACAAGGTATTCACGTTATCGTGACTACTTTTATCGTCTTAAGTCGTTATGCTGAATGGAAATTAAAACGGTGGAGAATATTTGTAGCTCATGTGGACTGACTTGGTTGCATTGTGTTTTCTGAGCTGCGTTGTTTAATCGTGAAGCTTTTGTCGTCTTTCTAGATGACAACATCAGCAGAGGAATTACTCACAGAAGAAAATGTATTGTATATCAACCACTTGAAACCAACCCTATTCTAAAGTTCGACAACCAGATCAATAAAACCTCGAACAAACTCTTCAAAGCAGAAGAAATAACAAAGCAATACAAATGGCGTATAAAAATCCAATGGACCTGTTCTTCCTCGGTTCTACGGCAGACCAACCCAATACAAACTAGATATCCCTCTACGACCAATAGTCTCACTTCCAAGAACTCCAATATTATAACATATCAAGAGAACTTTCGGGAAAACTGAAACGCTTCGTTCAATCATGGATATTCCATCAAGTCACCAACAGAATTCTTAGAAAATATCAAAAGCATTAACATAGAAAACGACGAATTAATGGTATCTTTCGATGTCACAGCACTATACACATCCATCGAACCTCAACTGGTCAAGGAAACTATGTCCGACTTAACTAATGAAGACACAAGCCTTTCAGAACGCACAAAACTCCAATGTTCAAGTCTGATGGAACTCATCAACCTTCGTATGACAACATACTTCCAATTCAACGGCAAGATTTACAAACAGATGAAAGTAACTCCAGTGAGATCACCGATATCCGGATTAATTGCAGAAGCAGTGATGCAAAGACTGGAAGCCATTATTCTACCTGTGATCAAACCAAAAACTTGGATTCGTTATGTAGACGACACTTTTGTCATCATTAAAAAGGATGATATAAAGAAAACACCCACAGTTTGATCAACAACGTTTTCAATGACATCAAATTCACAATGGAGAAAGAGTCAAACAATTAACTACCATTCCTAGATGTTTTAGCCAGCAGGACAAATGCTGGAAAGCTGGAAACCCAAGTGTACATAAAGCCAACGTACGCTGACCAAATCGTCAACTACAATAACAACAAGCCAACAGCCCACAAAATCAGTTGCTTGCAGACTATTCAGAAGAGCGGGAACACACTGCACTGCAGTACAACAACTTCAAGGAGAAACGAAGAAAATTACTTGATGTCCACCCCCACGAAACTTTAACGGAAGATGTCTGTCACGTACATCATCAACTACAAAGTCATCGACAGAAATCAATAAACGCATCATCCTACCACATATAAAGAATGTATCAGAAATCACGACAAGATTACTGAAACCACTTGGTGGAATTGGTGTGGCTCATAAACCAACAAATTCCCTGTAAACACTATTATGCAGACCAAAGGATGCGACAGCCAAAGAAGATAAACCGAATATCATTTACAAAATCAACTGCAATAAGTTTAGTCAACACTACATTGGACAAAGTAGTCACCCTCTTCGCCTTCGTCTACATGAACACCAATTGGCTATTAAACCTCAAGATATGTCGTCATTCATTTCAGTGCACGTCGATAATTATGGACATGAATTCAATTTCGACAATGTAGAAATTTTAGACCGAGAGAGGAAACACAGAGAATATCAGAGAATTCCTAGAAGCTTGGCATTCAGCTGAGCCAGTCAACAATCAGCAGATGTATAGACATCAACCAATAAGAAAGATGATAAACGACAGAAAGGTGAGAGGTCAAGCAGAGGGACAACCAACAGGAAAATCTATACAGTCAGTGACACAACAATCAAAGCAACACAACCAATCACAGACCACTTCGTCAAGGCAATCTGCTGAATCACTCATTGAGAGACATTGACAGATCACTTCATAATGAAGTTAATGCCGATGATGTCGTCTAGAAAGACGACGAAAGCTTCACGCTTAAATAACCCAGCTCAGTGAATGGAAATTATTTAACTTACTATCCAATTTAGACACTGAACTGTTGAGCCATAGTCCTGAGAGACTAAGAATGTGTAATGAAATCTGTGAGAGATATCTATCATTCAAGACTTAGCTTTTCGGATAGATTTGCCCTTTAAAGTAGGTTGTTTGAAGACAGATGCTTCAACAACACCAAGATTATCATCCATAGTGAAATTTCATCAGGGGTCATTTGTCAAGAATTTCACAATAATATATGATTTCTATTACCTAAACATATTCTGTAATAAAAACGATAAGTAGATCAATAGGACAAATTATTTAAATATTTGCCACTTACATCTTTGCGTTCCATCAGTCAGTGAAGTGGACAAATTTAGCCCAACTTGTTTACTTAATAAATTTGTCTCGAAATGTTTCAAGTATTTCTGTGGCAGAGTATTTATACTACTAACATATGTATTAATATTAGTAGAGTAGTTAGTTGGAAAGTGAAATGAAAAAGAGCCATCTGACAAAGTGTTGTTATTTATTGGTGGAGTCATTGTGTTCTGTGACCAATCAGATTTGGATCTTTTATTGATCGACAAGTCTATAGCCTCTTGTTGTTCATATTGGTGATGGTATCCACTATTTATTTCCAGGTGATGATGACCAGATAATTTTGGCGATGTTAAATTCATTGAATGTGTATACTGTATTTTCATCTTTTCTGAAGGATAATCATTTGATAGTGTTTTTAGTTGATTAGCATAACTAACTGGAGTCCAATGAGATGAAGATAATCTGATTTTTGACTTATTCATTTTTCGTTTATGCAAAACTTCAGTTTTAGTTTTTTTTTGGTTTAAACGATTTAATTTTGAATATTTGTGATTAAGATTCCTTGATCGGTTATTATGAGATTGGTTGTAGCTAGATGATGCTGACGTGGTATTTTGAAGATGATGATACTGACTAGTTCTTGGTTTTCGAGCTCCTCCAGTTGCACCTGGACTTACGCTGCCTAAAATGAAGAAAATTGATACACATATATGTCTTACTTACAGTTAGCCTACAATGCATGTGGAATGAATAAAAGTTAATTTGTCAAAAGACAGAGAGAGCTTTTTTACTTTAAGACTTTTGAGATAAATATTCGAACGTTGTCTTTTGATGTCTGAGATCAAAAATATACACAGGATACCTAAAGCTAAACTGCCTCATTTAGTTAAATAATTCATTTAGGTAGTTACCAAAAATAATCCCATGGTTACAAGACCATCTCTTCTGAAGTTAGGTAACTATAAAATTACCGACGAAGTAACATTTTTATTATTTTATTGAAATTTATCAAGTTATTCATCGTAGACTGACATCAGTTGGAGGAACAAAGGAAACCTAGGAGCACTGGACAGCTGCTTCGTCCTAGTATGCAACTCCCTCAAAATTCAGTTCAACTGGTGCTCATTAGTGCCTAGCTTCTAGAGGTATTCCCAAAGTTCCAATGAGAAGTGACCGGTGGGGGCAAGCCTGATGGTCGTGAGGACAGTTACTCAGCGATGACATTTTGTGGTGGTTGCGCTATATCGTGAGCTAGCAGAAGCTGGGAATATGGACGATTGGATTGTGACCCAGTGGCTAGCTCAATGGTAACGTGCTGGCCACGGAACCTGAAGGTCGTGGGTTCCATCCCTGTTGGTATGGGGTCTTTGGTGTGCACTGCTGAGGAATCCCATACTAGTGGGACGAAACAGCTATCCAGTGCTCTCAGGTTTCCTTTGTCCTTCCAACTGATGTCAGTCTACTATGAATAATAACCTGAAATATTTCCAAATCCCCACAACTCCCTCAAAATTCAATTGAAATGTATCAATCCGATCTAATTTCTTAATGCATTGAGCATCATAGCGTGCATCGTGAACCTCTTCACAACTAGACAATCATCTAATCTCGTAAAAACAACTACACAAATTAACTTAAATGAAAGATGATCCCATCATGTACATCATAGGGTTGTTGCATTGTTTCAGAAGAGGTCTCTGTGATCAATTTTAATAAATTTTCAGTTTAGAGGTTAGTGGGGACCAATTGAATATAGTCTGGCTTTTATCACGGACTGAGATCAGTTAGTGAATCACTGAAAACCTGTGAGCACTGGGCAGCTATTTCGTCCTAGTATAGGACTTCTCAAAAGTGCATACTCATGACTACACCGTGATAAATACTGACCTGAAACAACAAATAAATCCCCACAAACCTCAAAATTGAATTCTTGTGAGTTAGTTTGTTCTTTGTATTATCATTTTCAACGTCATCATTAATGTTGTGGAATATTCCCAAAATAGATGTCAACTAGTTATGTTCAACAACAGATCAAATATCAAGATGTAGTCAAAGGTTGCATCGAAGCATTCGCACAAGAAGCTAGTATATGTGGGCACATGTTGATTAGTTGAATCCTGAAAAGGACTGAACGTGTATTTTTCTACTGTCTGACAGCAAATGGTATCAAGTTCATATTACTAGGTAATCAGGGGGTGTATTAACTGCTGGTCATCAATTAATATTGACAGCTGCTGGTGCTGTAAATCATATTTCGACTAGGTACACCATTTGGCTGTAAATAATTGAAGCTAATCACCAAGTTATCCTAGGCCTAGATTCTGAGTAATGTGCGCAACTTTTCCTATCTAGACCTTCTAGTCATCGCCACTTACAAAGTCAAATGGTGAAGGGATAAAATTCGCTGTGACCCCAAGGTTTCACTATCTCGATGCTTCTTATTGAGGCACATGTTGGTCATCATAGGCATTCAATCCGAGTTCGAACTGTTTAAAAATCACATTCAGCGTTACTGTTGCAGTTTGACTATCAGGGATAGTTAGTCAGTAGGTTGTTCCCTTGGTTTGAATTACATCCATCTGGGTTTAGAGTAGAAGACTTACTTGGATAGTTGCTATGGCAATAAACGGACAGTAACCTGTCTCTGATTTCAATGACAACTAAGCAAAGAAAATGATTTTTAAAGTAATACACATTGAGATCTGGTTAAGAGGCGGGTTTTGGCTCAGTTGACAGGACACTAGTCTCTCTTCCACAAGCTGCTCCCCCGAATCTCACCTCAACTAAGATTTTCTGTCAACTCCAGTCACTAATATTAAATGCCTTTTTAAAAATAATTCACCATCATTAATGTGCAGTCATTGGGTCAACTTATCCATACCATCTCACTTTCAAGGAGAAACTCAATAATTTCAGTTACGAAATTTCAAAAGATTGAAGCCTAGTAACTAAATTCACCTATTCAAAGCTTCTGTAATGCAGGCATTAGAAACAAAACTTGTTGATATACGCGTATAAAGATATTTCACTGATGATTGTTTGTATACAAATATTAAAATTTGAAATGTTATCATTCTAAATTTCAAGGCCATAAAAACAAATACAGATGTGTTTGTTTTAATTGCTTCAGTCATTATTATTATTAAATCCTTGTCATTTTCGAAGACAAGGTCAGTTGAACATTTAAAATAAGAACGTAGGTGAACAACAAATTCATTGATCTGTTAACCAATGTAAGTCTACAGTTCTCCGGTATTTAAAGTGGGAGGATCCAGTCAGTTATAGGCAAGTCATCAAGGATAACAAATATAACCTAAAAATCAATTGATATTTTCATATTATAACTGAATATATATTGAAATTAAGTGTTCTCAGGATTTCATACCTCATTAAACACTGGGGAAATAAAAAAGATGTTATGCATTGACAAGGTTAATTTATCTCATGAGACAATGTACACATAACGAAAGAAAAGTCTAATTTGATGAAAGAATTATCATTAACTTAGCGAAGCAAAAAGGAGGCGGAGTGTTAAATAATAAAATTTTTATTGTAAAACGAAATGTTTCACTATTAATAGACTGTTATACGATTAGGTGAACGCTAAAATTTCAACCTGTCAGCATGTCATTTAAGTGTTTTGATATAGATTAGATGATGATGATGGTGATGATGATGATGATGATGATGCCAATACCAGTCTATTCATTATTGTAATTAGATTATGTATGGGGTGGATTTAGTTAACGTAAAGCTCAAAACTCGTTCTTCCTTCACAAGAGTAATCAACAGTACTAAATATCAGAAGAGGTGAATATCTCTGAGAACTTTATGTAAGTGAATCTGACTATTGTAATCTAGTCAGTTACTACGGAATAAACAATATGATGTTATCCAACCTTAAATGTTGATCATACTCTATTGACTGAATATGAAGTCTGGCTAGTAGACTAAGCTTATCACCACAGTAGCACATTGTAGCTGTTGTTTGATGGTTTGAGACAGTCTGGGGAAATTTGTCTTCAACTAAGATTTCTTGCTTATTTGCACACATCAGAAAAGAGATTCTGATTCCTGATAGATCTCAAAATCGCTTTAGCTGACTAAAAAAAAGAGGTGTTGACAGTTATTTAGGGGTCAGGTTCACGGGTGATGAAGCTTGAAGACTGTAACATCTAATTCCTGATTTTAGTGTCTTTTTTCCAGGACACGACCACTGAAGTAAAAAAGAATTCAGTGCTCTGTAGTAAACTAGCAGCAAGGTAAGTGGAAAGTCATGATATGTAGGATTACAAAAATCAGATGGGATGACAATCACTTACTTATGCTGATGCATAACTACAAAGTATGTCTGCAGCTAAGTGGAACTTAAAGTGTCTACCAACAGATTCTGATCTAGAGTCCCCAGTCTGTGATGAAATCCACGTTTAAAACAAACCTCTGAACTGGATAACAATCCAATACTCGCTGGTGATTGGCTTTGAAATGGAATTCCCATAGTTTCAATAAGAAGTCGTGACCTATGAGATGAACCAAATCAAGTACTCACCGATGATATTGAATAATGGTCATGTTATATCATGAACTGATGGATATCGAGAAATGTGAGCCATCGAATTCCAACCTTGTGGCTGACTGATAACATACTCACAGGGAAACTTGAAAGTCCCTGGTTTTAGCCCATATAAAGTCTTACAGCGAAACAAATCGGCTATCCTACGCTAGCAGATTTGTTATAGTTCTGTATCCCTTTTGGAATAGATAACTTTCACGGAGCAAATCACTCAAAGTTACTGTATTACTCAATGGCATAGACACAGCAAATCAACAAAGACTAGAAATGTACTCAATGGATGGAGAAAAACACCACTGGAGGTATAATCTTTTCAAATCATTATATAATTACAATGTCACGTTGATTATCTTCGTAGGATAAAAACGCAATTGTTATTGAAAGTGTCTGAGATGGCCGTGAGTCCGCAAAGTGATATTTATTTAACAGGATGATGGTTGAAATTGACAGAAAACCCTGTTCACGGTCAAATTCAAACTGATGACTTCCGGGTTATTTAATAAGTCAAATGTATTTTCCAACCAGGAGACTGTGTTCACTGCACCCTAAGACAATCACATAAGAAAACTGCCAAAATTTGATTACCTTCCGACTCTTTGACAAATCGATATCGCATTGCCAAAGAGTTAGGTCACTAGAATTAATGAACACTTTAAAGGCTTGATTAACAGACTTCATTCAAAAATCAATTGCTGACAGCTACATCGGTTACCATCTGATAATCATTCAGTATACATCTTTCACTCTTAAAGGGGATCATGCATCATTTCAGTATCTTTTTGTTCTAGTGGATCCAAGTTTATCTCTAAATGACACTAGTTCAATTTTTCAAGGGAATATGCGTTTCTTACAGGTTGCAGATATACTTTCCTGATTTGTGCTGACAAGCATGTAAACTACTTTGAAGTATTCCTATCCACTGACTTTCAACAATAAACATACAACAACTTATCACCGATCTACTACCATTCTATCAGGATTAAGCAATTCATGATAATCAGTAAATGTATATCATCAGTTAGTTCTAATAACGTTAATGATTCTCATAGTCATGTAATAACCATCTTTTGTTCAATACGGTGGACATTATCAAGTGAACTACACTGCTGAGGTCAATTCTCCAGGAGTATTTGAATGGAACAAGCGGAAAAGCCTTGGAGCACTATACAATATGGAAAAACAGATTTCATTGCTGTATAACGTGAAAAGTGCCCTTTTTGCCTAATAGTTGATACATGTAGTTAATTTCAGGAAAAAGTTTTCAGTAACTAAGGTCATGTGTTAGAACTACAAATTCTTCTTGACGCTATGCAGATAATTCTTAGTGTCATTAATGTCATAAGTGTCTCCATTCGCATTTCAGTGTTTCCTGGAGATTATAGTGTCTTACTAGAACTTCAGGAAACAGGCCTGTATAAGATCAGTCGATGACTGATGGATAGTGATACGATGGATAATTCGATTCCAGAAGATAGACGAAAACTTTTTTTGACCAAATGTTAGGCAAAAATGACAGTGTTCCTTAACAGTCCATTGATTCAAATATACGATGATTGTCAGAATGTATCAAAGTATTAAGCTCGAAATGGAGAATGATGGTAAATTAGAGTGGAATAAGTATGATCATCTTTAAAAATTACCTATTACTCCTCAAGTTCATCAATTCCACGCTAATCATTTAGTCACATAATAGGCTACATCAAAAGTCATTTACTCAGCTAATTATTCACACATACGAATAGAATACCATTATATATATCAACTTAAAATCTGATGCGTCGAGTTATACACAACAAACCATAAATATAAACATATGAAATATACTACTTAACTGTATCATTTATGACTTAACTGATTGATTGTAAGACTCCAGCGTAATTAATCGACAAATTAACCAAAATGAGCAGCCTAATATATTTTAAGGTTCAATGTAACAATTTCTCAATCATATGCGGATATGGATGTCACATTTTGAGCATGAAAGTAATGTAATTAGAAAAGTGAATAAACTAATAGAAAATTCATTTAAGCTATGGTAAATATTATTACTTTTGTAAATTGATTGTTGTTTTATTTGTGTTTAATGCGATATATGGTTTGTAGGTGCGTGTAAGAAGTAGACTTTCAAAAGTATGCAGAATATCGCTTTGATACTCGAAATCTGAAGGTGAAATCATATTAAAACAATTAGATTTTGTGTGTGATGAATTGAACATTTAATTGTTGAAGAATGTGTGTAATGTACTAGCTAAATATTTAATATATCTGATTGTACTCAAATTTAACTATTTTAGACAGTTTCATTTCCATCCAAATAAAAGGAATATTCTACAATCGAATGTCAACAAAAGTGAATGTTAATACTATTTATTATTTTTCTCTTGGATACCTAGTGGAACATACGACTTCACTAACACGTCTCCATTCCACTCTCTCCTATGCAGTCTTTTGAACATCGCTCCACTACTGCCCACTAACTTTCATCTCTTCCTCACACAATCTCCTCTCCTCCATGTCACTCTCAACTCGGACACCAAACTCGTCATTTCCCATTCGACTTCCATTCAACGACCTCGCCTGTTTGGCGCGTGATGTCCCCAATCCGCCTTCTCAGTATATGCCCTATCCATCTCCACTTTATTCTTCTGCATACTTGTTGGGCGATGCCTTCTTGGTTGGTTGGTTGGTTCGTTGTCAGGTCACACTGAGTTCCTTGTTGCTTATTATTCTGGCCATCTCATCTCCATCTTCAGTATTGAGTGAGTGTAGGCGGCAGCTGTTCATGTATGATGTCTGTATTCTGTTGGAAGTGCTTTTCGTGACGCGCCAAGTTTCTGAGCCATATACAAGCACTGACTTGACATCACTGTTGAAAATCCGGATCTTGTTACACATACTGAGTTGAGTGCAGTAGATCTCCGCCACACTGATTTGAGACTGATGAAGGAAGGTCTGTCTTGCTGTCTTTCGGATCCTGGATTTGACATCCTCGTCTGTGCCTGTACCGCCGACTGCAGTTGGAACGATGCTGCCTAGGCGGGTAGGTAGGTGAAAGAGACAACTTCCTTTAGGTTTCTCCCGTTGATGATGATTGGTGTCTCTTCTTTTTGTAGTTGTTGTTGTTGTTGATGGTGGTGGTGGTGGTAGTGGTGTTGGTTGGTTTGTTAGGTATCTTCATCACCTCCATCTTCTCTACATTCACTTGAAGTCCCGATTTCGCTGCCACACCTTTTCTGTCAACTTGTTGGTTTTCGCTTGTAGATCTTCGAGTTTGTGCGACAAGACATTAGGCACAAATCATGATCGTTGACGAAATCGAAATCTTCTCCTGGGTCTTTTTATCGCTGCAGCCAGCGTATGCTGCTCTTCTTACAGCTCCTCACAGTTGTCTGCTGCATGATTCAGTCCAGTCCAGTCCAGTCGACAACATTCAGGAAGATCATCCATGATAGTAGGTGGCAGCCTTGTCTTACCCCTGTCTCTTCACTTCACTTTAAAGACGTCTCTAAGCCTTTCTATTTTGGATCACTTAGCATTTAGCCTCATCACATAGCTGTTGAATGAGGCTGGTAAAGATTTATGACACTCCGTAGTGTTGAAGCAACTGGCAAATTACTTCTCGGTCGACGCTGAGAGTGAATGTCAAGTCAATCAGTATTTCTCAGTGATGGTTTCTAACACCATCTGACAATAGATAAATTATATCACGATATTGAATTATTTAATGTTTAGTTATGATAATGCTAACTTGACAGTTAGACTCCAGTCACTACTGAAGTAATAACAACAACATGGTACTACAGCATATTTTCGGATGAGATACTCAGAGTCAGTCATAAAGTAAACCTCGATTTAAGTTTCGCACTTGCTGGGACACATCAGAAAGATATACCAACAACTCTAAAATAATTCATATTCTCTTAAGGATCTCAAACCCCTTCAGCATATCACTACCAAGAGATATTCGTGAGAAATAACATGATATTAAAGTGTTGATTATTCTTTTTAAAAAATAAGGTTTATATTAATTACCTGTTTCACTGTAACGTTGAAGAATTTTACTGACACAACCATGTGATACTTTTAATTGCCTTGATATATCACAAGGACGTATACCGCTGCTAGATAGTTCAACAATCTTCAAACGCGTTTCATACGGTAAAGGTCTACCATTGATAAACATACCGCCTAGTTGATTAACTCTTCCTTGACCTTGATTAAAAATAAAGTTAAGAAGATGAAATGTTGAACATTTTATAAAGAAAACATAGTTGAAAAACACACTCTTCCCAATATTTTAATGAAATTAGTCATCAAAAATTTGTCTTACTTGAGTTTCATACTTTATGAAACTCATCTTGAAGTTGTGTACAAGTTATTGAATAAAATCATCTGCCAATTGAATCTCAGTATTAGTGTTATTGCTTGTATTATACTGTCGTTGATTGGATCGAATTGATCGGTCTCTATTGGCATATGCGATCCTGTGCGGATGCCTCGATATACCTACGTTGTTCTACTATACTGACTTTCGTCTCTTAAACCAGTCTTATATTTACGGATGTACCTTCTCCTTGAAACTTCGAAGTAAAATGATTGGCTATGAAAGCTTTCAGGAACTTATGGATTATGTGAAGGATCTGAACCTTCATATTATGTACACACCATAACATCTTCACTGAGAATAAAAATAGTTAGTTAGAAAGCGTGGAAGAAGGAAGTTAATAACACATTGAATCAGTTGCCTTTAGACTTCAATACTATTAACATACTGAGTTTCAGTAAAGATGGATGGTGGCCAGCAATGGAATCCAGGAAACTCCCGTAGTCCGAATCCCGGTGGGAACAACATCACTCACTGGAAGGCAGGTACATCCAGCTGACGAGTCCCAAATAGGACGAAATGCGCATCCTGGATTATTTTGCTTAATTTCAGCGATAGGATATTTTAACCTACAAGGCTTGTTTGTAAGCTAGTTCGTTGGTTTGAATGTCACTTTAATCCCAGCTCTATTGAGAATTCTTCGTAATGCTTCTGAGGTGCCTTCCTTGTATGGTAACACAGCAGAGGCTTTGAATGCTCTCTTAACCCTGTCGCCATTATTACCATAAGTAGTGGAATCATTATTAATAACACCTATATTACTATTATTACTACTACCACTGCTAATATTTTTCGTTCGATTTCTTATGAATTTATTTATAAATTTTGGTGGGTAATTATTGAGACGTAAAGTATTCCTGATGTGCCTAATTTCTTGTCGAAGATCTTCTGGTCCACTAGTAAGCTTTTTCGCTCTATCACTTAAGCATTCAGTTAAGCCTACTTTAACTGAAATGGGATGGGATGATCCGAAGTCTAAGTACCGATTCGAATGGGTGCATCACCAATGATCGGTAAGTCAGAAGGGGGTTGTCAATCTCTCAGGTTTGTAATTTTTACTTCAATTTTGAAAAAAGATACCGAAAAACATGGAATACCAAAAAGTTCAAAATCAGAATACTAACTAACTGTTAACTTCAGTTAGATTTTCTTAAGGCAACATGTGTTTAAGCTAATTCTTATTCCCCAATGACATCTTTTGGGCCACATAGAATAAGATTCGTATTTTCGCATCAACTCGTTGAAAGTGAAGGATTCGGAAGGAGAAAAATTCCAAATAATCTGATTATTTCTATCATGAGCAATAATATCAAGTAGAGAGAATATTTTTAAGACGGATGGGGATTTTTAATTCAAAAGTATTATTCATCATGGACTGACATCAGTTGGGGAACCATTGAAAATCTAGGAGCACTGGACAGCTATCTCGTCCAACTAGTATGGGACTCCTCAGCAGTACGCATCCACCACCCGGCTAAGGATCAAACTCAGGACCTTCAGTTCCACGGCGAACACGTTAACCATTCAGCCACTGGGTCGGCTTCCAGATGGATGTTAGGAAGTTCTAATGAGAAGCCATGACCTGTGGGGTCAACCAGTCGGAAGTGAAGTGGATGTTGACTGAAGACCTTAGGTGACAGTCGCACTATATCGTGAATTGACAGAAGTTGGTGAATGTGAACCACTGAAAACCTACCCAGTGGCTGAATGGTTAACGTGTTCGCCGTGGAACTGAAGGTCCTGAGTTTGATCCCTAGCCAGGTGGTGGATGCGTACTGCTGAGGAGTCCCATACTAGTTGGACGAGATAGCTGTCCAGTGCTCCTAGATTTTCAATGGTTCCCCAACTGATATCAGTCCATGATGAATACTACTTCTAAATATCGAATAGAATTTCTCGTGTTACTCACTTAGTATAAAAAAAAATACAACACATAAGAAAATTAATTTACCTTCAAACAAAATCGGTGGATATTTAGATGAAGAATATAAGTGAGTATTTTCACTAATAGATTTAGTAAAAGTTGATAATGATGTTGTACAACATGATGTTGTTAAATGTTTCAATGAATTTTGTTTTTCTTTTATTGCCATTGCTTCATTTAATTCTGTTTGATTTATTGAAATATTATTAGATTCCCTTGATTTATTACTGACTAAATTTTGTTGACAATCAAGAAATTTTTGAGCATTTTGTAAACCGTAATGATAATAATAATAGTAATATTGTGATATTAAATTATTAATATTTAAAAAAGATGTTTGCATCTTGTTTTCAGGTAGTTTCTCGATGAAATTAGACATAGTTTTTAACTTATTTATTCGATTTGTTGATAAATTAAGATTAGTTGTTGCCAGCGTAGGTGATGAACATGTTGTATACAGTGTGATTTTATTTGGTTCAATATGATACTGAGGATGATTAGATGATTGCTGTGAACTAGTTGCATTATGTAATTGATTCATAATGTATAACCAGTCTTTATAAGTTGTTGACGATAAATCATAATTACATATTTGCTGAGATGAACTTGATCCTTGATGAAATGAAGTAGGATTTTCTGAAGGTGAACAAATTGTTTTGTGTGAAGATGAAGAAGAAATATTTCTATTACATGAATTTAATGGTATTTCATTATTATTATTAGTAGTAGTAGTGGTAGAAGAATTATCGGTCTCCTGCATTTTCGACAATGACAAGGCCTTAAATCTGAAAATGAAAATTTGGACAGTAAGCAACTTAGTAATGAATTTGATTGACTAATTCGGTTTCTGATAAGAGTCTGATTAGGCTGTCGTTCATATCACAAACAAACAATAACTAAAGTTTCTAGAACTCACTAGTAATTGACAGTTACTTTGCCTCTGTATTAGAATCGTCAACAGATCATCATCATATGTCCTGCCTTACTATTGTATTAGTACGTTAGAGTTTGCTGACCTCCATTTTTATGCCTAATATTATCAGTTTGAAATGAAAGTATCTGGTGCCGTATTTCATACTAGTAAACGCAAGTGTACATCAGATTTCAATCTCTATAGGCCTTAATATAAAAATGATTGACAAAAAATATTCAAGAAATGGGAGGAAATAAGCGCATGTTAAACTGATTGGGAATCGTCTGTTTATTATTCATGGAAATGATGAATAATTCAATAACTTTAGAAGTGAGGGACAAAAGAAGGAAATAACTTTTTCTATGAGGCAGCTTCCTGATTTGCCTTTGGTGAACATCATATAAAGAACTGGAGCGTAATCATGTTCCTGTCCATCCCAAGCTAAATATTAGGCCGAATAATCCCAGAGACACTAAAAAATTCTCTCCATTCAAAATTACATCCGGAAAAGGTTGGCTAGCTGGCTGGCTGGCTGACTGGCTTCAGGAAGAACAAATCACGTACCGATCAAATTGCAACGCTACGCATCATCATACAACAGGGCATAGAATGGCAGTCAACTCAAATCGACCTCAAATTCATCCACTTTGAAAAGGCCTTCGACAGCGTCGACCGACAAGTAATTTGACAGGCAGCTGCTACTTCAACACTACACAACGCTTTCAGTGACACAAACCTTTATCAACCTCATTCAACAGATATGTGATGAGGCTAAATGCTAAGTGATCCAAAATAGAAAGCTGAGAAATGCCTCTGAAGTGAAGACAAGGTTGACGCCTACTATCATGGATGATCTTCCTGAATGTTGTCGACTGGACTGGACTGGACTGGACTGGACTGGACTGGACTGGACTGGACTGGACTGGACTGGACTGGACTGGACTGGACTGGACTGGACTGGACTGGACTGGACTGGACTGAATCATGCAGCAGACAACTGTGAGGAGCTGTAAGAAGAGCGGCATACGCTGGCTGCAGCGATAAAAAGACCCCAGGAGAAGATTTCGATTTCGTCAACGATCATGATTTGTGCCTAATGTCTTGTCGCACAAACTCGAAGATCTACAAGCGAAAACCAACAAGTTGACAGAAAAGGTGTGGCAGCGAAATCGGGACTTCAAGTGAATGTAGAGAAGATGGAGGTGATGAAGATACCTAACAAACCAACCAACACCACTACCACCACCACCACCATCAACAACAACAACAACTACAAAAAGAAGAGACACCAATCATCATCAACGGGAGAAACCTAAAGGAAGTTGTCTCTTTCACCTACCTACCCGCCTAGGCAGCATCGTTCCAACTGCAGTCGGCGGTACAGGCACAGACGAGGATGTCAAATCCAGGATCCGAAAGACAGCAAGACAGACCTTCCTTCATCAGTCTCAAATCAGTGTGGCGGAGATCTACTGCACTCAACTCAGTATGTGTAACAAGATCCGGATTTTCAACAGTGATGTCAAGTCAGTGCTTGTATATGGCTCAGAAACTTGGCGCGTCACGAAAAGCACTTCCAACAGAATACAGACATCATACATGAACAGCTGCCGCCTACACTCACTCAATACTGAAGATGGAGATGAGATGGCCAGAATAATAAGCAACAAGGAACTCAGTGTGACCTGACAACGAACCAACCAACCAACCAAGAAGGCATCGCCCAACAAGTATGCAGAAGAATAAAGTGGAGATGGATAGGGCATATACTGAGAAGGCGGATTGGGGACATCACGCGCCAAACAGGCGAGGTCGTTGAATGGAAGTCGAATGGGAAATGACGAGTTTGGTGTCCGAGTTGAGAGTGACATGGAGGAGAGGAGATTGTGTGAGGAAGAGATGAAAGTTAGTGGGCAGTAGTGGAGCGATGTTCAGAAGACTGCATAGGAGAGAGTGGAATGGAGACGTGTTAGTGAAGTCGTATGTTCCACTAGGAACCTAAGGGAAAAATAAAATTATGAATAATAAAGAGACAAATTGGAGATGATGTTCAAATCTAGAAAGGCCTTGAGGTAGACAGAGCCTTAGAATATATATATATATATATATATATATATATATATATATATACCGTTGCATTTTGTATTTTTGGGCGTTCTAATGTGGCTGTCTTCTAACCGCTTTTTTCCATTCATTGAGAAACTGGGTGAACATCAAATGGCGGAATCTGAAATTTATTTTTTGGCCTCCATAAAGATGCCTATGTGTACCTTAGGTTAAATCAAGTCATCACGGAGAAGTAACAATCTACTTTTTCCATCCCAGTGATAACCAATAGCAAAGTGGGTATGCTGTAATGATAATCTGGTGAATAAGTTGGCTGACACTAACACGTAATGTACGATCACTAGTCAGCTTACTAATATGACTTAGAGACAGTTGCTATTATGCGATGAAAGCCTCTTTTCGGTTGAGTGAAATATTAGTATATACGATGGAGCGCTAACTAACCACTGTTTCTGAGTATGTAACACTCGCATTCTTAAGATCAAATCCGGTACCACCTAATCTTTGGTAAATATCCCACTAATTAAAACTTCTCAAAACACTGACCCGAAGTGAAGATACTTTTTTGATCGAATGGTAGAATCAGATAAGCGTCAACTAAGCTTTTACAAACTTTAACAACATATAGCAAGGATTCAGTTCTCGAACAAAGACAGGCAGATAGAATAAGTATCCACAAAGTTTCTGGTATATCCTGAGGGTAGCTGAAAACTTCTGTTTCATCTGAAATATATCTACCAAATCACTAAGTCGAGGCTTAGACGCCAACTTCAGAATTATACTTCTATTGTATGCACAACGGGAGGTAAAATCAATAAAGAAAACTCATATTTCCCAACTCAAGATTATTCTACTCGTTCTAAGCAATATACATCGCTAAACAGTTTAGTATTATCCCAGTAAGCTACAGCCTAATGTCTTGTTTGATGAAGCCAGGGAAATATAAGAAAACAGTGTATGTATGAAATATGCCACTGAACAACTTGAGTAGTTCGAAACCATTCAAGCTGGTCTGTACATTTCGCTAACCAGATAAGGGCGGTTAAAACATCAAAATGCCGTTTCACTCACTTGAGGCAGAGCTCCTCAGCCGTGCATTCGGACAAATCCAACTCATAGAGTTGAATTAGCTCAGGTTGCCTGAATCTGGCCAGGGAACCTATATGGTATGCGCAAATAGGGTGATCGAGTTGCGAATAACTTACAGATGGTGACATTTCTCACAGCCGTTTTTCCACTTACCCGACTGTGTTATCAACAGTTCATGTTTGGGACGCAAGTTGGGATCTCTGACATAAAAGAGTAACGAACTAGGGAAATATGTTACTACTCAGCAACCTGAGTAATCGGAAACCAATCAATATAGTCTCTAGATTTCATCAACTGGATCACAGCTGATTCGCTCGACTCCAATCGAGCGAAGCGGTCATACAGTGATTCCACTGCTGATCTGACTGACCTCTTTTTAAACAATATTTAACCACTCATGCTGTTGATGAATATAAGCCAAGATAATATAAATAATATTATCAATTACATTCATATTTAAAACAAGATATTCACCTTTATTATTTTCCGAATCGATGTTTGATTCCGTCAGTGGATCAGAAATAAATGAAACGAACTTCACTTAGAGTCCAATTGCTTGATAGTTTATATTCACTACTAAGCTGTTATACTAAATAAACCGAAGAGTTTAATATGACTCTTTTTTCAAAGTTAGAGATGAAGGGATTGTTATGCTTTCACGCTGTAACTAACATCCCCCTTTGTTAACAGGTGAAAAGTATTTCGGGGCATAGTCATAGATAAATTTCTAGTGTTACGATTGGTTAATATTTTTTCAAAGTTTAATAAAAATGTCTGAAAAGAGATTGGATAAAATACTGTAAAACAAATATGACATTCTGTCACAACAAAAGGGTATGAGAGAAATGAATATAAGTGTGACAGATAAGAGAAGTTATAAACGTTAAATCCAGCCAAACTTCTGTTTAATTGCCAATCAAAATTCGACTTACTGTCTTCAATTTCAAGTGTTTTTCTCTTCTCTTAGATAGATTTTTAAGTCAATAATTTGACTATCTGAGACAGCTGTTGTTTTGGTAGAGTTGTATGATTCACACTAGATAATATTGGAAGGCGAACTGAAAATCGGAGCTGTAGCAGAACTCAAACCCGTGACCTTCACACTACAGGTCCAACTGAGCTATGATACCCAATTACTGATTGGATCTCTTTTTATTACTTTTTAAAAGTTTTTCCCTTAGGTTCCTAGTGGAACATGCGGCTTCACTAGCACGTCTCCATTCCACTCTCTCCTATGCAGTCTTTTGAACATCGCTCCACTACTGCCCACTAACTTTCATCTCTCCCTCACACAATCTCCTCTCCTCCATGTCACTCTCAACTCGGACACCAAACTCGTCATTTCCCATTCGACTTCCATTCAACGACCTCGCCTGTTTGGCGCGTGATGTCCCCAATCCGCCTTCTCAGTATATGCCCTATCCATCTCCACTTTATTCTTCTGCATACTTGTTGGGCGATGCCTTCTTGGTTGGTTGGTTGGTTCGTTGTCAGGTCACACTGAGTTCCTTGTTGCTTATTATTCTGGCCATCTCATCTCCATCTTCAGTATTGAGTGAGTGTAGGCGGCAGCTGTTCATGTATGATGTCTGTATTCTGTTGGAAGTGCTTTTCGTGACGCGCCAAGTTTCTGAGCCATATACAAGCACTGACTTGACATCACTGTTGAAAATCCGGATCTTGTTACACAT